ATGATTGCAGCCCACTGCTCCCCAAGGGGATGGGTTAAATGCAGAGGTAAATTTCTCCAAGGTGAGATCAATAAAGTTTAATTAAAATAATTATATGTTATTATAACATTGCATTTCCTTTTAAATTGAATGCCTCACAGCAACTGTAACTGATGTTTATTACAATAGAGCAATTAAAATACAATGCCTTGCGAAAGTATTCAGCCCCTTTGAACTTTTCGACCGTTTGCCACATTTCAGGTTTCAAACACAAAGATATCTAATTCTTTGTGAAGAATCAACAACAAGTGGGACAAAATCATAAGGTGGAATGAAATTTATTGGATATTCTAAACCTCTTAACAAATAAACTGAAGAGTGGGAAGTGCAAAATGAAACATCCCCTTTACTTTCAGTGCAGCAAACTGTCTCCATTAGTTCAGTGAGGATCTCTGAATGATCCAATGTCAACCAAAATGACTGATGATAATGAATAGAATCCACCTGTGTGTGATCAATTCTCCATATAAATCCACCTGCTCTGTAATCGTCTCAGAAGTCTGCTTAAACCGCAGAGAACATCATGAGGAACAAGGAACACACCAGACAGGTCTGAGATACAGCATATCCATAAAAATATCTTGTTTGAACTTTGCAACAGGCAACCTGGGAGACACTCCAGACACGTGGATGAGGGTGCTCTGGTCAGATGACACCAAAATCAAAGTTTTTGGCAACAATGCAAAACGTTATGTGTGACGTAAAAGCAACACCGATGGGAAATTAATGCGAAGATGGATGGAGCCAAATACACGACCATTCTGGAAGAAAACCTATTGGAGTCTGTAAAAGACCTGAGACTGGGACAGAGATGTATCCTTCAACAAGACAATAGTTGAGTTTGAATAAGCAGCTGCATCCTCCGAAGGCCAGATTCATTGGCCGATTACGTCATAGGGCAGCACCGAGGCCGTTTAGATTGGAAGACTCCTCATTATGCAGCTGACAAATGCAGCCTTTTTTTGTTCGGTATCGACTCTTAGTCTGCTTTGTTTGTCAACTGTTGCGACAAAGAGTCCATGGTGGTGTCAGGGGTGGGGGAGGGGAGTGAAAGCTGGAGAAGGCTGGACCTGTTTGAATCCATAGCCAAAACTCTTCCGGTCTCCTTATTTTCATGGTCCTCGAAGGACCCAGTCCAGTTAGCCTGGTTCCTTGGAGGGTGCATCCTTTGAAATGGCACACACTCAATAATCCAAAACATAAATAAAAATCTACAATGGAATGGTTCAAAAATAAATATATCCAAGTGTTAGAATGGTCAAGTTAAAGTCCAGCCCTGAATCCAATCCAGCATCTGTGAAAAGAACTGAAAACTGCTGTTCATAAAAACTCTATATCCAGCCTCACTGAGATCCAGCTGTTTTTCAGGGATAAAAAGGTCAAACTTTCAGTCTTTCGATGTGCAAAACTGATAGAGACATACCCAAAGAAATTTGCACCTGTAAACCAAGCAAAAGGTGGCATTACAAAGTATTAACACAACTTGGCTTAAATATTTTGCATAACCCATTTTTCAGTTTTTAGTGGTTAAAAAAAAAAAAATCCAATAAACTTCCTTTCTCTTCGTGATTGTGTCCCACTTGTTATTGATTCTTCACAAAGAATTACAAATTTAGATCTTTACGTTTGAAGCCTGAAATGCGGCAAAAGGTCAAAAAGTTCAAGGGTTCTGAATACTTTAACTGTATGATTGATTGAAAACCACCTAGCCCACAATAATGGGAAACTGTTGTCTATGGCTTGAGGATTCTTCCAAAAGTCCACACACGCAACAAATACTCATATGAGCAGCTTTACTTCATACAGGCACCCATAAACTACCACTCATGCACATGTTTAACATGTTACATGCTGAACTGTACCAGGTGGTGCCCATATATTACACACCAGTGCATGTTCCCTCACTGAATGATTGTGGTTTGATTTCCATACATGCGCAGCTTTCCCCCTTCTCTCTTGTGGACCTGTTCCTGATCGCTCCTGTCAACTCCTGTCACTTTGAGGGCATTACCCACTGGACAAAGCACCCTACCTATAATTTGCTACATTTCGGGAAATAATCAAATGAAATTAAAATGAATGCATGACCTTGACAGCAGCCATGATGTGCTGCAGAAGTCTCTTAATCATTCATTCAGATAAGTCAGGTGTTTGTCAGCGAGGAGACACCTAAAACATGTGGGGCAACAGTACTGTACTGCAGGGGCAGATCTGCATCATTTTTACGATAAATGTTGGAATGCAAACTCGGTATTGGTCCAGAATTCGAAACAGGAGTTTAATGAAATCATATGAAACCCACTTACCTTAGGTTTAGGTTTCTCAACCACCAATGTTAGGATCAGGCTTCAGGTTGAGGTCCTGGCTCCCCAGTACCAGGCGACATACCATGCCTGAATGTTTTTTTTTTCTTAGGGGTTTTTTGAAACGCTCTTCAACTGACCAATCACCCAGGGGCAGTTTGCATTGGGCTCCACCGGGGCATATAAACATAACCTTTGGGAGGATCTAAGCACACAAATCCCACCACCATGGTTCCTGGTCTTCCCCCGGCAGAGCTGGTGGAGGTGTGTGTGGAGAGAGAGGTCTGGGAGTTAATGGGAGACAACATAATCAAACCCGTGTTCTAATCAGCTTGATGAAACAAAGATGTACTAACTTTTTATGTCTCCCTCATTGCAGAAGATTTCATATGCAACACACAAACAAGATAAAATCCTTTGTAGCAGATACCAGCTTGCCACTATAGTTCTGAGAAAAGGGGAAAAGAATTCTCCTATCTAGAATGACCCTGACTGCAGAATATTCTATCTGGCGCTCAGGAGCCATAATCCCACAATCCTATGTGTGACATGGCGTGGTGAAAAATGTAGACCTAATTTGACTTGCATCATCCATGTCTGTTTCAGCTGCGTAATGGTGTCTGTAAAGCC